TAACTGTTATGATTGAATGAATGGATAACTCTCGGCCGGGTTTTATTAAGCGATAGGCGAGAAAAAATGCTTCAGCGGCTTGCTTTGTACTTCGAAACCTCGGCAAGAAAAAAAAATCCAATCTCGGTCCACAGAGGTCGAAATTTCTCGTTCAAGATCTCTTTTTGAAGCTCTCAAAATTCTCCTTTTTGAAAAATACGTGTCCAAGTCGAAGAAGTTTTGCGAAAGACTTAAATCCATAAACTTCTACCGCAATATGTGCGATAATTCTCTGCAATTTTATTAACACACTTAGAACAAAAGGATACCTTTAAAACTTCGCGGCCCTGGGCAGCTTAATTGTTCTTAATTGTTCAATTCGTTTGAATTCGCTTCTGAGTCTTCCGCCATAAAATCTCACCTTCTTTGAACCGAGTGAAAACGAGCACTCTCGAAGGGAAAGTCCGGAGGAATAAATTGAGCCTTCAGGGTACAAAATCCAGCGGTTTCGCCCATTTCTGAAAAACACACTTAAATCGGCGTGAAGTTGTAATGGTTCCGCAGACGTTCGTGGGGCAGGAACGCGTGACGAACCCCTGAGAAACGTCTGCGTGGGAGGCTACCACGAACGCAGCTTCTGATTGGCGCGGTGCTGGTAGTGTTGATTACTTAGCACTGGGAACGTCAATCAAACCAGCTATGCTTTGTTTACGTGAGTCACAGATCTGGTCTCATCTGATTTCGCAGATTACAAATGCTTTAGACTGATATTTGTTTGAATCGGGTTTGTGCGAAGGTTTATGAAATCAGAGTCTTCAAAGTATAATTGGGGATCGAGCAGTGGAGATTAGGGAAGGCCACTTTATTGGGAATGACGGCGTGCGGATCTGACTGGAAAAAAAGGACTGTTTGTTGGAGATAACATCAACGTAAATCAGAACATCGATACTCGACACTAGCTAGAGCCGCCATGGACAAGCGATTTATCAGCTTTCTGAAATGAAAAGATTATTTTTGTTTATTGGAAATTTAGCGGCGTATATACTGTAGAGAACGTTTCGACACGGGCTGAAGAGCAGCCGCTCTGCAAACTTATAGCCGGCGGATTGAATTGTTCCGGACAAATCATTTTTGACGTTTCGACAAGGTTTCATAAAAAAAACAAGAAATTCCGCAGCAATCGCCCAGAGTTTCAACCTTCTTTTATCGCAAACCTTTTTTATTACAGTTTTTGCAATCGCCTAGAACGTGTTCTATTAGAGAACAACGTAATTATACAAATCTGGTAATACAGGGGTAATCTGTTCGTTATACTTCTGCTTTGACGAGCTGCCAATTTACAAATCAACCGAACCGTGAAATATCAAGGGGCGTTTTCCAGAATCGTGGGGTTTGCGGGTAAGCGTTTCCTCTTCTCCCCTCCCCTTCCCCCTTCCACCTTTTTTTTTTTTGGCTCCCGCTCTAACTATGGCGCAATAACTGGACTGGAAACGCTTGCTACGCAGGCTAGCTACGGGTTGAAATGCTAACGTGTTATATATCCTAGAAGCGCTCAGGCATAATTATATAACAGGATATCCGCGACGGAGTTTGCGGTGCAAGATGGGATAAATGTAATTTCACGTATAGGCATTTACCCGACTTGGAAGCAGATATTCCCTCCAGCCGACTAAGTCACTGGTTATGCAGGAGAATGTCTGCGTGGTTTTGTTTCTATGAAAGTTTAATCAAAGAAAGCTTAAGCGAAAATAGGGAGATCGCAATTGTTATACTCTTACAAACTACAAATTAGGGCTGACCTAAAATACACTTTGAATTGTGCTGCCATCCTGCACAATATAATCTGGCCGCGTTTAGGGAGACAATTTCTGCAATTTCATCTTCGATCCATATTTACTTGTTTGTTTGCTAGAATCTTCAGACAAAGAATAGGGTGTAGAAATCGAATGGTTTGAGAAACTAAGTCCAGCGAGTCTACTTACCGATCACAACATGTTTTGGAAGTACGTTCATGTATTGAGAGGAGCGAACATTGATTGATAAAATTACCATTGTACGAGCTATCATACCAGTGATTTCTCCTTTCGTCGCATAGATATAGTAAATGGTTTGTGAGCACATCCTCGACTCTCAAAACATTCGTCTTGCGCCGCTGTAGAGTTCCGTTTCCCACGAACCGTAGGTAGATTTCCCGCTTAACAAAATTTTTGATAATTTATGCAAAATTGAACCTGGTGAAAGTCAGAAGTACATTTATCATCTGAAAAATAAACAGACTTCCTCCGCAGTGGTTTGAACACAATTTGAATTAAAGTACTTTACCAGCGCTGTGGTAGTTGACCGCAAAACTGTTACGATGATAGGTACTCAACTGGCTTATTAAGTCACTACATAGCAACCAGACGCTACGCAATTTTTAGCTTCCGGAACGCTGAGGCTTGTGATATATATATGTGTGTGTGTATGTGTGTGTGTATTAAACGAACAATCCCACAAGCAATCTAGTTGAAAGAAACTACTCCAAGTACCGGAACTTACGCTTGAAAAGTGTATAGATATGTGCCGTAGCGCCGAAGCTACGTCGACTCAACTGGAAGCTACATATCAGCGCAAAATTCACACGCACCCCCAGCCCCTGAGGTGAACTTTGTCAAGGAGCCGTCCAAAGGCGAGGATAATCACGCGTTGTAAAAGATTGCCGATTTTGTGGTCAAACGCATTAGAAAGGGAGATCAAAGTGCCCAGCTTTCGGGAAAGTTTGCTCTGCCTGTCAAAAAGAGAATCATTTTGCCTTGAAATGTTCCCAAAAAAAGAAGCCGCGAAGACAAAGAAGCCAAGGAACAGGAAACCTCCACAAAAGCAGTTAATGAATCAGTTCGACTTTGATGAAAGTGAAGAGGAAATTCTCTTTGTATCCTTCACCGAAGAAGAGATCAACTCTGTCGATTACCACTCAAACAAGATCCTGGCCATTATGAAGATTGGTGGAAGAGAAGTGAAAATGTTGATTGACTCAGGTGCATCCTGCAATGTTCTGCCCATCAAGTACCTCCCCAAAGGAACTGTGGTTGAGAAATCGAATCACACCCTAAAGATGTATTCAAAGTCAACCATGTCAGCCATTGGTAAAGCAAAAATCTCCATAGTTAATCCTAAGAACATGGATAGCTATCTGATCGACTTCACCATTCTTGATGGCAATTTGGCTCCATAATTATACTCGGTCTGGAAACTGCTCAGCAGATGAAAGTAAAGGTTGTGGACACTCAGAACATTTTGTCCATTAGAGAAGATACATTGTCCTGTGAGGCTGAGAGGCCTAAGTTCACGAAAGATGCTGTGATGAGTGAATATTCAGACGTCTCGGAGAAGAGTTATGCGGCATGGAAGGGAAAGTACACCTTGAATCAGACCCGAATGTTGCTCCCACAGTTATACCGCCACGTCGTGTACCTATTGCGCTTAAAGAAAAACTGAAAAATTAACTTGATCGGTTAACTCAGAGAAAAGTAATCGGCCCTATTCAAGAACCCACAGATTGGGTTTCAAGCATGATTGCAGCCAAGAAGCCAGACGAGAACCTTCGTTTGTGCATTGATCCCCATTATTTAAATCTAGCCTTAAAATGAAGCCATTACCCTCGCCCGCTTATAGAGGAGATCCTACCAGAACTCTCAAAGGCTAAAATATTCAGCAAATTAAAGTTGATTTGAAAAAAGGCTTTTTTCAAGTTGAATTAAACGAAGAATACAGTACAACTGACTGTCTTTCAGACACCCTGGGGGCACTATCGCTGGCACAGAATGCCCTTTAGAATCACCTCAGCCCCGGAAATTTTCAGATGAAACTTGACCAAAACTTGGAAGGACTAAAAGGAATCTTCAAAACAGCTGACGATATACTGATCACTGGTCGAGGAAAAACAGAGCGAGAGGCAGATGAATACCACGACAGAAGTCTAAGTCCCTCCTGGATCGATGCAGGAAGCGGAACATCAAACTTCACAAGAAGAAGTTTACATTCAAGTGAAATGATGTGCAATTCATTGACCATCGCCTAACAAAAGAAGGTCTAAAGCCTGACCCTGCTAAAGTGAAAGCAGTTCTTAGTATGAAGAAACCTGATGATGTAGCTGCAGTGCAAAGGCTGATGGGTATGGTGAAGTACCTCTCAAAATTACTTATTGACCTCCCTCAGATTTGTGAACCTATTAGACGTCTAACCCATAAAGATGTGCTATGGACAAAAAGAACAGGATGTTGCCTTTGACAATCAAGGAAGCAGCTGTTACACGGGAAGACCACCCTGTCACCTATGCAAGCCAGGCTCTGACACAGGCTGAACAGCATTACTCGCAAACTGAAAAGGAGCTCTTGGCTCAAGTGTTTGGTTTAGAAAACAACCATCAGTGCGTTTATGGCAGAAAAGCTATTCTTTATACAGATCACAAGCCATCGGTGTCCATCTCGAGAAAGCCATTAGCATTTGTATCAAAGCGTCTACAGAGACTTCTCCGCTTACAGCAGTATGACGCAGAAATCAGATACAGGTCCGGAAGAGAGATGTGTCTCGCGGCTCGCCGATACCCTAGCTATCAACAGCCTATCCAAGCCTACTGGCACACAGAGATCAGAGACCGAGAGAGAAATATAAAGTATTCATGCCGAAGACTATGTAGCTATCTCTGAGTAGGAGGCAAGTGAAATCAAGCAAGAAACGGCTAAAGATGCAACTCTTCAGACCCTCAAAAAGGTGATCCTAAGAGGATGACCTGAAAACAGCAGCTCAGTACCAAAGGAAGTGTCTGAGTACTTCAATGTCAGAGACGAACTTGCCGCACAAAACGGAATCATCCTTAAAGGCCAAAGATGTGTTATGCCTCAGACGTTGAGACAGAAAGTTAAATAGAAGATCCACCTTGCTCACATCGCAATACAAGGATGCCTGAGAATAGCACATGAGGTCGTTTATTGGCTTTCTATGAATCAAGAAATCACTGATTACCTTGAACACTGTGATACACATCAGTTGGCAGCCTTATAGGAGCGCGGTTAGAGGAGAATAACGTCTCAACTGCTCACCCAATTCCCACTTATGTGGCAGACGCGTCGCCTAAACGTATCGTGAAGTTTACCTGCCGCAGTCTCAGAAACAAATTCTATTCTAACACAAGAAAATTGGCGAGGAAGAAGGCAAACGATCTGCTAAACCTCAACCTGTCATCCCAGGCCGGTGTATTCATCTCTGAGTCTCTGACTCCTTCCAAGAAGAAGCTCTTCGGAGATGTCAACAAAGTGAAAAAGAAACTTAAATGGGAGCATATCTGGATATATGGTAGGATCTTTATTAGGCAGGGCGAGAATAAGCCATCTTTCTCGTTTGACCGCGAAGAAGATCTAGCTAAATTTAAATCACAACATACAAGCTCGTGCTTAACGCTAGATATGCGGTACAAAGTGTAAAAGTTCATAAAGTAAAGCACATTATGGTCATTCAGGTAATCGTTTTTAATGCCGTTAGAATATTTAATTTAACAATTTGTGGTCTTGTTATGAATTTATTCCAATCATTTTGAATTGAACCATAATGTGCACTACGAACTTCCGTTTTTCACTTTGGATTCCCAAGAGTTCCTTAAGATTACTCGTGGGTGGGTACACCAGTCGTTTCAATCTTTTATCGAGTCTAAAGATCTATTTGCAGATATTATAACTAGCCCCCAAAGAGAAAGTGAGCTACAAGAGTACAACAATTACATCCAATCTTTACCGTCAAACAGTCTGGAAAATTCTTTCATGAGGCGACCTAAAAATCTAACATCATTACAAGATATTATTGAATGGACTGTAAAATGGAGTCCGGAAATATATAGCCATATCCGAAACAAAACTACAAGAAAAAAAAAAAACATCTATAATATCAGGATACCCGATTATGTTTTTTTTAAATACAAATTCGCCAACAAGTGCAGGTGGTGTCACCCTTTATATTTCTCAAGAATTGAGCTTCATGAGGCGACGGGCCGGGACGTAAAATTATCTGATGATGGAATAGAATCGTGCTGGGTTGAAAAAAACAAAAGAACGTAGTTGTAGGCTGTATTAATTTACAGGCTGGCATCCTTCCAAAGACTGTGCTAATTTACTTGATGCACTTAAACAGCAGTTATGTAATCTGAACAACGAAGACAAAGAGGTCTTTGCTTTAGGTGATATAAACTAGGGATAACCAAACATCTGATTATCTTGACATGATATGGCTTAGGTTACATACCACTGATCACCAAAGCCACGCGTATAATAGTCTGCTACACAGCTGGTTAGTGGGAAGGAACGTTGCGTGACGACACTAAAAACGGCTGTGACCAGACTACGCGTACAACAGACCACACCGCAACGCTGATGACCACATCTACACAAACGTGCCTCAACATTTAACAAAAACAAGAATATGTTTAGCCCATATAACAGATCACTTACCCGTTTTCAGTACAGTGGCAAAACGGCTTCCTTTGTGCCGAGATTTGTTTTTAATATGGATTTATTTTTAAGTGACTTTGAGGCTACTGATTTTAATAGCCTAGTTAATGAAGGTGTTAATCAACGTATGAATAACGTAATCAATGCGCTACAATCCCTATCTAATAAACATGCACCTTTACGAAAACTATCAAAAAAAAAAGAAAAAAAGTCATTTCCTTAGTAATGATCCTGATAAAGTAACCTATTATAAATCTTATAACAACAATTTACAGTCAAACCAGGTCAAGCGTTCCCGTCGCTAACAAACTAATGAATTCATTAATGGCAAAATGATTTCGTTTGTTGATTCAATAATCCATTCATAAAATGAATAATCCAACAGTCAAATTGGACCTCGATTCAATAATCAAATGTTGATTTGGTTTATGAACAAAATCTACCTGTTCTTTATTCTTGTCTGTTGTGTTCAATCGTATTTGCTTCCCTTTTCCTGCCGTTTACGATTGCGTTTTTCATTGCCTTTAATCAAAATAACAGCTAGAATAGACAGACCGCAAACGCAAAGGCCGAGGATCGAAATCCACCAATCACCGCACATACACTGACCTCAGTTTGACCGTTGTGTTTTCTAAGAGGTCAGGCCTAGGTCTGTTGCACTGATTACTGGCAGCAAACTGGCGTACATGTAACAGTTTGTTTGGGTTTGAACTTCAGAACTCGCCAGCACTCGACTCTCAGAAAAAAAAAGAGGAAAAAACAAAATTCTGAGGTCAACTTGTGGAAAGTGTAGTTTTTCAAAAAACAGTAATCGAATCAACATTCGATTATGGAATCGAGGCTAAATATGAATATTGGATTGTTCATTTTATGAATGGATTATTGAATCAACAAACGAAATCATTTTTCCGTGAATGAATTCATTAGTTCGTTAGCGACGGGAACGCTTGACCTGGTTTGACTGTAAATAGAATTAAAGATTAGCCAAAATAGGTTATTTTCAAGAACAATTTAGATTAAACAGTGAAAATCTGAAAACAACATGGAAATTGATCGGCATGATATATAATAAACAGGACAAGAGGTTGTGGGAAACCGTCCATTACAAAAATAGGTGTTACACCGATAAAGCCAGTATTGCACATAAACTAAAATCACATTTTATTAATATTGGCCGTGAACTTGCTGTCAAACTTCCTCCTTAAACGTTCTTTTCGAGATAGTTTTATCTTCCGCAGTGTTCTTGTCCATAAAGTTTACGATTTACGAATGGGAACAAACCTCAACAAAGCAACCATCGGAGTACCTCGAAAGATCATTAAACTAGCTTCAAGTCATTTATGTGAATCCTTAACCTATATTCTTAACCAATCCTTACAACAAGGTGTTGTTCCTAATATTCTGAGAATTTCAAAGGTTACACCAATTGACAAAGGAGGGGAGGTTACAGATCCTACCAACTTTCGCCCTATCTCAACTTTACAGGCAACGTTCACTCAAATATTTGAAAAACTTACATACATATGCTGCTTATCAACTATATCGAGAAACAAAAAACTATTTTTCAATTTCAATTTGGCTTTAGAAAAGGATATTCAACTGCCGAAGCTATAACTGAAAACACAAATAAGCTAAGGAAAGCCATTGGCAATAATTTATACACTTGTGTCTTCGTAGACCTTTTAAAAGCTTTTGATACAGTAAATCATACGATTTTGTTGGGGAAGCTTATGGAATAAGGAGGATACCTTTGAATTGGTTTCAAAGTCACCTTTCGAATAGAAAGCAGTATGTTGAGTTGTACTGGATTATGTCCCAAAATCAGACCATTTTAGGGAGCACTTTTCTTTAAGCGCAAATATTCTCCAAATAGCAGATATCGCCCTCCGAATTTTCTTCTTGCTGTTTTTGGCCGTGTTTTTAGCCATCTGTCGCCTAGTTCCAGCTGCAGCTCTTACTCTTGAAACGAGTGAAATGTCCGCCATTTTTTATTTCACAACCAAAAAAACTCAACCTCGTCCCCAGGTCTTCTCGGTAACGGTGCCTTAACATGTAGCGGGCTGCATTTTTGAAGTCATTTTCTCGTTAAACACAAAATTCTTCCAAATTTGGTCATCACTAACTGGTTATGGTGAATTATACGTGTGCTTTTAGCCAATCAGAATTGGGGAAATATTTTGAATTAATAGTAATATAATTTAATCTATCTCATACTTGTTATGGCATATTAGCTTGGGGAAGTGCATACAAAACACATATAAGTAAATGAAAAATAAATTCAAGTGAAACAAGACCATATTGTAAGACTAATATTTTTTGCCACAGCATTTGGTGGCGAAAAAGAGAAAGCCAAACCTTTGCTAAATCTGCTGGGTCTTTTAACAGTTAATAATATTTATCGTCTACAAGTCTCAAAATTCGTGCATTCATGGCATAAAGGCTGTCTGACTGAGATATTCGACAACATATTTCAATATGCTAGTAATATCCACTGCTACAACACGAGATATACAGCTAAGAAAAATCTTTATAAGCCACGCGTACGAACAAACGTAGGCAAACAATAAATCTCCTTTAAAGCTACGGACATTTGGAAGGACCTCCCAACTCATTTTAAAAACTCAAGTGTGTCTGCGTTTCTGAAGAAAATTATACGCTTTCTAGTGTCAGAACAACAAATGAAATAATTTTTCGTCTTGTTGATGAAGCGACATAGTTCATGTAAATATGAGTTCTTCCTACTTTGTTTTTTTTTTTCTTTTTTTCTCTTTGTATTTCCTTTGATTTTACCCTTTACCTAGAACCTAAATTGTTCAGGGAGCTCACAAGAAAACTAACTGGTTCATTTAGCTTCCTAGCTTGCACATTATTCTCGTTAAATTTAATATATCTTGTATTGTTATTAAATTTCCTAGACTGTAATATAAACCATGTACATTGAGAAAGCATAATAAAGATTAATTATTGAATATTGATAGACTGCAAGGGCCATTATCACCAGGTGGAAACGCCATTTCTCCAATCATGGTATACCTAACCTATTTCAGAGCGACAATGGTTCACCCTTTGACTCTCAAGCGTTTGGAGATCTCGCAGTAGCTTATGAGTTCGAGTTAGTCACCAGTTCTCCCAACTATCCTCAACGTAACGGCCGCGTAGAGAACACTGTTAAAACAGCAAAGCAGCTAATAAAGAAATCCAAGCAATCTTGAACCGACTTTTATTTAGCACTGCTCGACTGGAGAAGCGCCCCGACGGAGGGCGTAGGCTGTTCACCCGTGCAATGACTTCGTGGCCGAGGGACAAGATCACTTCTTCCAACAGCAACAAGTCTTGTGAAACCTACGACAACCCATGGTGTGCGAGAGAAACTTCTTAAGAAGAACGAGCGTCAGACCTATTACTACAACCGAGGAACTCGAGAGCTATCGCCCTTACGCAAAGGTGATGCTGCCGTAATGCTACCCACTCCCCAAGCTCTAAAGTGGAAAAAAGCTGAATTTGAAGACCAAGTGGATGTGCGATCATACGCAGTACGTACTGAAGACTGAAGAGTTTTTCGGAGAAACCGAAGGCACCTAAAGAAGTACCATCCACCTCCAGCTACATACACTCCGGAAGTGGAGGTCGGGCCTTCAAAGATCAGGGTTGCATCAACTTCTCCAGCGGAAGAAGCGGTAAAGGAGCGGTTTTTCTGTCCATCATTTTTGGCTTAATTTTTTTGGAGCAAAGTCATGAATGGATGATAGAGTTAACATGCTACTGTTAAGGAATCAAAAGTTGTTTCCAAGAAGAAAGTAATCATCACAAATTTTAAAACTTACAAGAGTTAAAAGTTTGGAGTAGACTTTGAAATTTTAGCTGAATCATGTTGATGAATGCATTTGTCTGGGACATGAAGTTTCCAATTTTGATCTTCTGTCAGAATTATGAGAGAACATTAACACCGATCTTTATAAGGTTTTTATAGTTTCATTGTAATAACCTTTTGTTTCTATTCCTATAAAATTATCGTCAAGTCTAAATTTTGCATGAATTTAATGTCATATATATTTGAAGAGGTTGTTGTTTCACCGTGAAGTAGTTTTTACTTTGTATCAAGTTATATGAGGTTGAGTTTCCTCTTCGTTGTTCGCTTAGGCAATGTTAAAGTACTGACATGTTAACATACTTTATTTGTTCATTTGTCTTCAGAAAACATTGATTGATCCTGAAACAAACAAAGTGCAGCCTCACAAACAAGGTTTTTTGACGAACAAATGTGTACTCAACGAAGGCATGTGTCTCTGACAGTGTCAAGAAAATTAATAAAAATGGCCTGATGAATTAATGGCAAGATCTGGGTTTTTACTCTTTTCTAGCACTTTTGACTATTCATCACTTTATTAACCTCTATATACCAAAAAAAAGATATAATCTGTCAGTATTTTTTCCAAATAACATATTTGCAATCAAAGTTCTCTTCTTTCAAATATAGCACGACTCGTAATTTTAAAATTTTCAGTGTCTTATACAGTAAGCTTTGAAAAGAAAAAAAGAAAAAAGAAAAACGTTGCTCGGTCATATACTGCTTTAAAGTGTTGATATGCACTGAATTGTACCCGTTCACA